TCCAACCTGGATTTAAAGTGCCGTCTCGCAACACAACTAGAAAAGATATTATGAAAAGATATGAGCTTGAGAAGGAGAATGTTGCAACCTTGTTGAGGAAAGCAAAGGGTAAGATTGCCTTAACTACTGACATGTGGACAGCTGACAACCAGAGAAAAGGTTATATGGCGGTCACCTCACATTTTATTGATAATACATGGAAGTTGCAAAGTCGGATCATAAGGTATTGTTTTCTGGTTACTTATAACTTGTTTATTTTTTTTTGGTTGTCTTTGTATTGCTATAGTTTTTTGTGTGAATTTTAAAATCATAAGAATTATAAGTTGTGATGATGGATGATAATAATGAGCCCATATATCCACAATAGTATTGAATAGACAAATAATATATGTTATTTTCATTGGTTTTGGTAGGTTTTTATATGTCCCCGCCCCTCATACTGCTGAGGTTCTTGCTGATGCTTTGAAAGAAAGCATTCAATCATGGAATCTTGATCTTAGGTTGTCTTCTATAACCGTGGATAATTGTTCAACTAATGATGCAATGATGGAAATTTTGAAAGGAGTGTTTCCATATGGCTCACTTTTATTGCGAGGTGATTTTTTTCATATGCGTTGTTGTGCTCACATATTAAATTTGATTGTTCAAGATGGTTTAAGTGCTGTGGTATCAAATGGTGTTCAAAGAATTAGGGATAGTGTTGTGTTTTGGACTGCTTCTGATAAGAGAGTACAAAGGTTTGAACAAGTGGCTAAGCAAATAACTCCTGAGTGTAGTAGAAAGTTAGCACTTGATTGCAAAACCCGGTGGAATTCTACTTATGAAATGCTTTCTATTGCTACTAGTTATAAAGAAGTGTTTGTTGTTTTAAGTGCTCGTAATAATTTATATAAGAATCCACCGACCCCTGAAGATTGGGAAAAAGTTGAGAAAATATGTGAACATTTGGAAGTGTTTAGTAAAACTACCCTTAGTTTTTCAGGAACAAATTACCCTACGGCCAATCTTTATTTTCCTAAAATTTGTGCTTTGAGAATTGCTATTTCTGGTTGGCTTTTATCTCCTCATGATTATGTAAGGAAAATGGCCGACATTATGTTACAAAAATATAACAAGTATTGGGCTAGTGTGAATGGCTTAATGGGAGTGGCAACAATACTAGATCCTAGATACAAAATGGCTCTTATTCGCTTTTATTTTGCAAAAATTTTTGATGAGCATGACTTTGAAATTGAGGTTCGTAGAATTAGTGATCTTCTACGAAGATTGGTTGATGAATATGGGTCTAAGATGGGTAAAACTCAAGGTAGTAGCAACCAACAAGATTTTGATTTGGGTAGTAGTAGCAAATCCAATGAAGAGACCTTTATGCAAGAATTTGCTGAATTTTTACAACAAGATAAGGACTCAAGTCATGATATATCAGATTTGGATAAGTATTTAGATGCTGCTAATGTGCCTCTAGTCCAAGATTTTGATATTCTTAACTGGTGGAAGACAAATGGAGGCACATATCCCATTCTTCAGCAAATAGCACGAGATATATTGAGCATTCCTGTTTCTACTGTTGCATCAGAGTCCGCATTTAGCACAAGTGGTCGGGTTCTTAATCCTTATCGTAGTCGGCTTTTACCGGAAGCTGTAGAAGCTTTGATGTGTACTCAAAATTGGATATGGGCTGCTTCTAAAAGTAAATAGCTAAAATAAAATTTTATTTAATTAATAATATTATTTATTTATTTATTTTAATTAATTCACATTGTATTTGCAGATTGTGGAGAATTTAAGGATGATGAATATGCTAAATTAGTGGGAGAATTAGAGGAAGGATTTGAAACATGTGATATCGATTCTGGAACAAGTGGACTTTGCACCGAATAATTCAAGGCCTAATGAATTTCTTGTTATGTATTTGAATATTTGTAGACTTGTAGTTATTTTTAATATTTGGACTTTGGACAATTTGGAGTTATTTTTTTTTTTTTAAAATGGTTATTTTTAAAATGGTTGATCTTGCAGTGGTTTTTGTTGGATTTGAGTTAATGGGATTTGTATGCACTGCTACTTTTTCATTAGTCTACTATGAAGTCTGCAGGGTTTCAGTTGACACTTGAAACTTGAAAGACAGTTGCTTTTCTCAATACTAAGTTGGCGGGTATGGGGCGGGGAATTGGCGGGGATGGGGCGGGGGTTTGGCGGGTATGGGGTGGGGGTTTGGCGGGTATGGGGCGGGGACGGGGATGGGGCGGGGGTGGTTTTAGAGTTGGACCCGCCGGGGCGGGGACGGGGATTATTTTCAGACCCGACATGGGGATGGGGATGGGGATGGGGATGAAAATGTGAGGCGGGGATGGGGATGGGAATGCCAAAATCCGCCCCGCCCCGCCCCGTTGACACCCCTAATTCACAAGCATGCTCACCTCTTAATGCCCCCCTACACTTCTCTCACTCATAATTTAATTTCAGAGAGTAGATCTACTCTCTCTACTCTCTTTACTTTTTGATGTACACATTGGTTTTTTCAAACTTTTCAATACACAAAGAGAACAAGCAAAGAAAAACTTAAAAAAAAAAAAATATATCAAAAGGACCAAGAAAAAAAAAAACACTTTTCAATACACTATACACCTCTTAAAACATTGTTATCTTTGAAAATAATTAATACAAAGTATTTATTAAAGTTAAAAAAATAGAAATATGGTACATTATAAAGGCCAAAATCATTTCCTACTCAATGAAAGCGATTTTCATCCAATGGATTTTATTGACAAATAATTTACTTTATCCTTGAATTTACAAGTCTTATTTTCTCTTAAAAAAGACAAATGAAATGGTCTCACCGAAAATTAAATACGTACATGAAAACTGAAATGGACCTACAAAAAAGATAGGAAAAGGATCCGTACTCCACGAGGACGACAGACTTTGATCCTCAGTCAAATCAACCAGAATTTAATTTAGACATTTTTTGCTTTCTAATCCGTAATTAAAGTTACTTAGCTGGAATTTGTCTCAATCTTCCTTTTATGTTTCCTAACGTGTTTTAGCAGAGTTCAATCCCATTCCTTAATTATTCAAGGGAAGCCTTGGTTTATCAAAGTTGAGACAAAATTTCAAACCAATTACTATACACTTGATTTTTTACAAATCACAACCAATCCATGCCATACTCTACCAAACTATAGCCCAACATAAAATACATCTGATAAGGAGTTGGACTAGTAAACGCTAATACCCCATCACCGCACCAGTCTCTGAGGAAGCTTCAGTTTATCTTTTTGATAAGTACTAAAATATTAATCTAATCACATATCTATAAATAAACCAACAAAAATTTTCAGCCAACATGACATTTTGGTAATATAACCAATATATATGAGGCCCATATTTAATAAGAAGTTATTAATTTTATTTTCGCCTTCTCAAGTCTCAATACCTCAAGTTGAAGTGTATAAATCATGAATTAAATGTTATAGTACTTGTAGGTTGTGCCTTGTGCTAGGCTTGTGTTCCTTGGGGATTGGCTAAACCTTAACCACAAGTCCACAACTAAACATTTTAGGTATAAGCACATGTGCAGATGTGCTACTATGCCTAGCCAAAGCTTGCATACTTGCATTACATGTAATTTGTATTAGCATAATTTATTTTGAAAATATTTGCTCATCACTTAACAACGGATAGATCAGAAGTACAAATCAAACCATTTTGTAAATCACAGATATATTTTATATAGACTTCTTATTAAAGTTTACTTATCAAACGCACTGTAAATGATCATCCTTAGTACTCTGTTAGTATACCAAGTACAAAGTAGTACAAAGTCTAAGGTGGTAAGAATTGTACTTACAATCATGAGCTTGTGGGATCAATCCTCAGTAGAACTTAGGGGCGGAGAATTTTTTACCATTCACTCTCACTCCCAAGAGGCCTTATATTTGTTCAAATCAACATTGACAAGTAATTGTAAAGTGTAATTGTACCTTCCTAACTTCCTATAGGTTCATGGTAGTTGTGTTGAACCAAAAAATGAAATCACCGGAACGTAGGAGATGATAAACCATTGTACCTTTGCATAAGAAGAGAGGTGGTACTTGCAATCCAACATAAATTCCCCACCAGCATGAAAAATCAATCTATTATATGCATTTAAGACTTTAAGTCAGGATAAATAAGAAAAAATTATATAAAAAAAAAAAGGTACTGTCCTAGTGTCCTTTGTCCTATAATATTAGCATCAGATGACATGCACTAATTAAGGAACTAATCAAAAAAAGTTATGGACAAGGATCCTCCATCGCACAATGCCTTTGTGTGGGAAAAGAGAAAATATACACAGAGAAGGTAGGCCTACCTTTAGATGAGTTGGCAAAACTAGATTTTACCCAATTGCCAAAATCAAATTACTCTAATACTTGATCATCAAACTATACAATTCAGTCACAATGTTGCAAGTAAAAAAGAAACAGAGAAAGTATCTCAATAAATTCAAAATAGTATACACCCTATATGGGCAATATCCCCATGGAATTGAAGCAAAATTGAATTGAACAACTCATCAACAAAATATGAGCAAAACCAAATTAATCGACCCCAACATTACCTTAATTTTTTTTTTCCCATCTTTTATAGTCATGCAACTAGAGTACATAAAAGTTGAACTGACATAATTAAAAGACAATACGACAATAACCAGGCACGGAATGTGTATCAATGAATATTGTTATAGGTTCTTAAAATTTTTATCTAGGCAAGTTATACAAGTTAATACAACCAGCGTATTAAGTTAGGTTAGTGTTAGAGTTTATAAAAATTAAGAGAATCATGAGTTGAGGTCCTTGAGGAGGTGATGCCTTAGCTTCATCTTCCATCCTCAAGGTTAGGCTTACGATTCTCATAGGGGCTAAAGAAAACGAGAGGTGGGTGTGCAGGGTGTCTCTCGGCTGAGCTATTAGATAGGTGGCATAATTTCCGACTAAATTGTGAATGGCTGAGCTTAATTTTTTTTTTTTTTTGGGGGGGGGGGGGGGGTGGAGTTGGGTATGATTGGGTCTGGTTGATTCTCTAAGAGAAGGTAGGCTCAGCATGTTTGTGTGTAAAAGAATAGATTCATTTATATTAAAGGGAAAATCTAGGTAATTAGGTATAGATTTCATAAAATTAGAAGGTGCATGCATAGCTACTCGTATGTAGCATGACAAAGAAATAACATCAACATCCTTAAAATTAAAATAATTATATGGCAAGAATACAACACAATGATCAACTTCATTAAAGAAAATATCCAACATCAAAGAACAAAAGTAATGGATCCCCTTATTTCACTCACATTTCATTGTTCTTAAGCAATCATCACATATTATGTAAACTCCAGGCAATATGAAGTCATATAAGAGTTGGAAAAGGGGACAATATGGCATATGCCATAATTATATAAATGACTCGGAAAATAAATATTAAAATTATAATTAATATAAAAAAGTATACAAGCATTAATGACATAAATGATGGGATATCATTTATCCTATGTGAGGAGGAGATTTGAACAGAAAGATATTCTTCAGAGGAAGAGGCTGAGGAGAGTCTAAACAGAGGGAATTTAATTTTGGAAGGAAGTATGAATGTGAGTTAGAGACAATATTTGTGGTTGAACATTAAAAGGGGGAAGAAAATAAAAAACTGAGACTGAGAGTAAAGGAGGGAAGAAAGGGACCAGCTAATCACAACTAGCTTTTTGCTTCTTTGCTAGCTGGTCCTGCACACTGATGTAAGTTAATAATTTGGCTAAGTGAATCAAAAATCCGATTACGGATTTGATCTTATTCAGACATTATCACATTGGGGTGTTGGTAGATAAAGACGTACACCAACAAAAATCAAACTGTTAGTTGATGTACGGCGCGCTTAAGGAGTTATACGTACACTACCTTAACTTGCAGTTGCAGGGGGTAGAATAAGGAAGAAATCTAATGTGATATAGTTTGTGTTCTTTACTTGAGGATATATTGATTTTTTGTTGGTGACAACTAATGTTGGTTGAAAGAGATGGCAGGAAGAGTTAAAAGAATGTGTCTCAAATCTCAATGTGTAAACTACTTCAAATCTGACCATCAAAGTGCTAACTAAAAAATCAAGTAAGAACCAAAAATATCATACATGTATCTTTGAAGAAGAAATTAGAGTGATAAGAAAAACCAATTACTCCGTAGATCTCTATGGTTCTACACTTCTACCTAAACCAAAGCTTGGCACAGGTTACCTAAGGCCTCAAACACCAATGAGAGTCTCACCCAATGACAAAAATTAAAGTAGTAGGCACATTAAATCTCAGATTCTCAGGTTTCACTATATTATCACCCATAATAGTAAACATTGTACATTTGTACTAGCTTTTGCGCCTTTTATGGTAAAAATAAAAAAAGAAAAAAAAAAATATCTTGGGATGTAATGTGCCTTATATGTTGGTTTTATCATTCCACACTATTTAATTACAGGAAACATTCCAGCTGTTAAACCCAATTTCTAAACTCTTCCATGTTCAAGCAAGGTAATAATGTAAGAGAAAGGGGACCTATTTTGTTATTGGGTCAGACAATGATTTATGCATTCAAGCTATAATGGTTATCTTTCACATGTGGTTGTGGAAAAAACTAAGAGAAGATGGATGAAAAAGAAATTAATGTGATAGAAATTAGAATAAATACTGCATTTATTCAAGGTTTAACCTTTCACAGAATCAAAAGAACACAACCAACAATACTCCAACTGAATCATCACTTTCAAGTTCAACAATCCCTTTTTACATTTTGTTTTATCAAGTGGGCTCCTTCAACAAAATATAATGCATTGACAATGAACTAAAACAGTTGCCTGCAAATAAGTTTGTTTCCGAAAATAAAATTTTAAGGCCCTAAACTAATATCATCCACAGAAACATAGATTCATCAGCAAAAATAGAAGTCGGAATTTAAAATATAGGAAAGAAAACAAAGCTCGACAATTGGAAAATCGACGAGAGTGAAAAAACAAGAGTCTGAAATATCATAATCATAGCCCCCAAACATAAAAAGCTACAACTCAGTGAGACAGATTGAAAATAGCAAAGGGATGAAGCTTTTATCGACCTATCATCATCTATGATCCCTTCTTTTTACTACAAAGATGGACTATATTGCTGGAAATTTAATGCTTCTAATTCTCAGCATTTTAATATTAGATTCAAATTTAATATTATGATCAGAGATGATTCTTGTAAAGAGCCTATCATGTTGAATTTCTATCATAAAGAATTAAAGATATTTACTTCTTTACCTCTTTCTTACTACACAACCAATGCATCATAAATTCGCATATGAAGCACATTCAAAGTGGCATAACTTAAGTCAAGTTTCACAAAATAAGAAAGGAAGGGTATAGTCTACGTACAAGTTGGAGCATATCCATCTCTTTCCCAGCTTTTACTCATTTCTTTCTGCCAAAATTAGGGAAAATTGATATTTAAAAAAAAAAAAATCTACATAGAATCCCTTTGTTCTTTCATATTTAATGTTGCAGCATTGCTTTTAAAATAACAAAATAGGATCTTATATAATCAGTACAAAATATCTACGTGAACGGGTTCTATTGTCTTTTAAGTCAAATGACATAATGTGGATTACTCCGTAAATTTTTATATCTTTAAAAGATTAAGGGTGCAACCGTGTAATTTACATATGAAGTAGAATATAACCCAAACGAAAAAGATAAAGTTTCAAAGAAGCAATCTCTTGCCACTTGATAATTTTGGGACCAAACTACCCAATCTTAGTCATAAATGAACCATTGTTAAAATTCATTCAGGAATTATCACGCAACTTTCTCAAGGAAGACTATAACAGCCCCATACAGAGTACTTGTATTTTATATAACCCATTTTGTAGAAAAAAACAAGGACAATTCCCAAGAAATAATGTTAGTATTATCACCGGTAGTACTCCGTAATACCTAAACCCTTTTCTCTCCTCGGATTACCAAAACTACTTTAGCACATATTTTTGTATCCATTTATACAGTTTCCTATGCCATATTGGCGATATTGCCATGATAAAAATCAAGATTCAAGATATCCCAAGATTTGTTTGTCTTCTTCAAATATCATGCACTAGACTACGAAGGTTCCTAGAACTTTCTTTTTTCAAAAAAAAAAAAGAATAATACTCCCTCCGTCTTTTTATTAAAGATCCATTTAGATTTTTTCACTGAAATTAAGAAAGTTGGTGAAAATACACAATTGCATGTGGAGTTAAAAAGTGAAAAAAATAAATAAAAAATTGAGGAATAATTGGAGAGGAGAGAGAGAAAGTGTTGCAAATTGATATAAAAAGTCATTGTTAGTACAAAAAAATGTAGACAATTCATCAAAAAGTAGAGAATATTCTCAAATACTACAAACTTAAAAATAGAAATAAGTTTCTAATTTTATTTTGCCAAAAAAAGAGTACAAGTTTTTAATAAAAGACAGAGGAAATACTCGATAATATATTAAAATAAAAACAGTAAAATAAATTCATTTGAGACACTGATTAAGGAACCCTACATTTTAGCTGCAGTAATTGGACCAAAATGCCCTTTTATTACTCTAACAGAAAAAAGAGGGAGATGGGTAATATTTTAAAATGGATAATGCATTATTAATTCCATATTACCCCTTAAATACAGTACTTTCTTTAAAAAATAATAAAAAAAAAAACCTGTAAATGACTTGTAATCTAATAAGAATAAGCCCTAATTCCTTAAATGCCTTATATGTAAACATTCAAAGAGGGAATAGTCCCTTGTTGTTTAAGGTTGATGCACACAAATTAAGGTTTTTTTATTTTAATTTTTTTTAAGTTAATGCATTCATCGTTAAAAGTGATCCAGTAAAATTATGTTTGCATATTAAATTGACTGGTAGTCTGGTATGGAGCCAAAAGTTTGCTGGTTACTATGACTTGGGTAAAAAGGGATAAAAATAGTTACATAAAAGATTCATGATTTCATACATATATACATTTGAATTATTGAAGGCCAATCTAAAATGTGCACAAGGAAAACACATTAATGTAACAAGCAAGAACGAACAGTTTCATTCCTCTCACAGGGCAGAATAAAACTCTGTGAGGAAAAGCTTAGAACTTTTTACAAATTAATCTAACCCAGAAAATAATTTCATGGGTCTTGGGTTAGATCAGTGCTTATCGATTACAACAAAAACCCGATAATCGGGTTTAAAGAATTAAGAGATCCATCACTGACCAAATACATAAGGTCAAACAATGAAGAAAAGATGTAAAAAAAAAAGAGAAGCATCATATCATGCAGAGCTTATGCTCTCATTGAACTGCTTCATCTTACGATCATCTTTCTTCAAGAAAACTACACCCCTCCCCCCCTAAAATCACCACCCTTTCTTCTTCTGTCGGCGAAAACTTAATAAAATCACCTAAGCATGGAAGTAAGAGAACGAAAAACAACTTCTTCACAAGGGATTGTAAGGCCCATATCATGATCAAATCCAAACTCCTCTTCTGCTCGTTGAAGCAAACATTGGAACTCTGGATGTGATAAAAAGGAAATGGGAACAATGTACCTACTCCTATTCTCTCCTACATAGACAGGAAAATGGCCTTTTGGAACGTCAAGCGGAAGGCCATCTTCGTCGTAACCATGTTTTTTACCTAGACTAGAACATCTCTTAAGGATTTGTTTCAGCAATGCTGTTTGTGTTAGCTTGCTTGATTTTCTAAAAGCCATTTTCTTCCTCTTTACTTCAGTTTTTCCAAGCAAAAGTGTTTTTCTTTGGTTTTTTTTTTTTTTTTTTTTTTTGGATATGGAAAATGTTTTAGGAGCACTTTTGTTGAGTGAGGAGGGATGAGAGGCTTGTGAAGGGAATGAAGGTTATTTAAGGAGGAGAAAAAAGAGAGAGAAAAGAGAAAGGGGACCAGGAGGTCATGTGGGGTGTAGTAAGCAAAGGACAGGCCACGGGCGTTTTGGAGTAAGTGTAATTTCTCACCAGGACAAGGTGGGAGCCCAGAGCACTTGGCTATAGACCCTAGTTTGTTGCCCCTCCTAATAGCATTGTGGATCCCATTTCATTTCTCTACTTAGTTTATATTGTCATTCTCTCTCTTCAGGTGCATCTCTAAAAATGAGTTAATCCTATGTTTAAAGTCAGATACTAGTCATACTACAATTTTTTTACTGTCCTTAGACTTAACCCATAAGTAGTAAACTTAGATCCTGACACAGTAATAAAAGCATTGTAAGATTTTTTGGATCTTGTAAATACTCAAGTATTAAATACGGAGTATTTTATACCATCGATCTCTTACATTGATACGGTACTTTGTCTATCGCTATTTGTAAGCACCGTTTTAATATTGGGATGTCTCTTGTATGCCACATCCTAGTTATGGTCATATGGTCTCAATACTTCACTCTCAGTTTCTTTTTTTTTTTTGAGGGAACTTCACTCTCAGTTTCTCATAAACTACTTATATATGGCTCCATTATTTTTCTCTCATCAAATTCACTCACCTAAATATTTTAAATGTGTCGTCAAACACAAATATTGGGTTCCTTGACTCCTTTCTCGCTATGTAGTTCCGTGTTTTTATTTTATATTTAGAGAATGTTCTCTTATTGTATTATCGTAAAGGAATAATGAATATCTGAAGTAGGCTTCATCTATTAACTATTTGAAGTGGCCCTCTTATGAACTAATCAATATTGCAGATTCAATTATGTCTAATAAAGTAATAATAATTGAGCTAGAAAGATTAGCAGATAAGAAGAGGTCACTAACAGGCTCATGTAGTCACTATTTGGATCTAAAATGATGATATCATGATTTGGCAAATAAATCCAGAAATGCATGTATGACTAACTAGCATCCACTTATTGGAAAATATAAGGATCAAGCATGATACTTTGGGTTGAAATGATGAGCATGAGGAACAAGTCTATAGATAGAAGCAATGGTAAAGCTAGAAATTTTTATCAACTGAGTTCAATTCAAACACAAACTAACCTGAGTGTCCCACGTTCATTGGGTCTGAATCAAAAGAGGTTCTTCTTCCTGAAAATAGAAGAAAATTCACATTAATGACTTGGAATACATTACGGTTGTACTGATTATCAAACTAATATCCAATCATAATTAAGTGAAATTTCAAAGTCCAATCAAACAGATAATCAACTCCTAATAAACATCAGCACATGGAGATGGAAGTACAAAATCTCAACTTTCTATTAGCACTATCATTACATCACTTTTAAACAAAAAAGACCTACTATCATACTATTAATAGTACTAATTTCCCAGCTTAGATTCCTCCTGTTTACCAAAATCACGGACTATGAGAGCAATTGTACTGGAAAGGTACAGTTACAGGAACAGGGGTTTTGGTATTTTCTGATTGTTTAGACTTGTGATTCTATAGAAATCAGTGGGGAAAAAAAAAAAACAAATCTCAACAAACAGCACCACAAAAGATTGCTGTTACCATCCATGTGTAATCTGCAACGCCTTTTGAGGTGTCTCTAAATTTTATTTTACTTGACAAAATAATCCTATTTTGTTTCCTTCTAACTGTTATAGTTAGGCAAAGTTTGAAAGTACTAACTGACAAGCATAAAGCTTAATTTTAATGTAAATCCTCTGTTTCACTTTAACACCTTCAAAATCCTTAAAGATTCTAAATTTAATTTATTCTGTATTAGGAACACACTTTCTGAATTTCGCAGGTACTATGTAATGTACTTCATATTTTTAATCACAGCATGACTATTCTTTATTTTAGAATCTCCATGGCAAGTTGCCACATTAATTGGTATATTACATCTCCTATCTCTATCTGTATTGATAAAACTAACGTGCTAACCCTGTCCTTTCACAACCCAAAGGCTCAAAATGGAACTAAAAAAAAAACAAGTTGTTTAAAAACAAAAATATACTTAAATTGAGAATGAAGACGCTGTTTTTCAATTTGATAAATATACACCATTTTGGGTGCTTAAGGTGCCAAATAAGAATCAATGTAGGCACCTGAACAGACTAGATCAAAAACAAATCTATTAGGAACACAGCTTTATTTAGCAGGAAGAAGCCCAAACAGATATCCAACCAATACAGATCTCATTATGATGTTCCAAAGCCTTCAATGATTCGAGGTGTGGTCAAGCAAGATGGAATATCTTGACGAAAGAAGCAAGGGCTAACAAGGACAACAAAAAAAGAAGTTTCCCTTATTCAATTTAACATAGCTATCCACAATATATTGTAGCAGATTTGCTAGCCGCAGTGGTAGAGACCCAATAACAAGGACTTCCCTCCGTGGTCCAACTGTTGAACCCATCACTACTAAAATCACAGTCAATAAAACAACCACCAAGTCTATTGGAAGCAAGCGCCACCACTATCCATGCAGTTTGGATCTCCTTGAAAAAAAAAACTTATCTCATGCAGTAAGATGCAGTACGCAACTTTTTCATTGTCAGATAAAATGTATAGATTGATATCCTTTTTCAATTTTTACCAAAATTGGCCCATCAAATTGTTTTCAATTCTTTTGTTTTTTGAATTAATAGTTTGTGCGTTTCAGACTAAGGGGCAATATAAAAAAAGATCCTTGTTATTAACACAGGATAAGGGCTACCTAAATCCAAAACTACCTTACCCTGTTATGGACGAGAATCTCTTTAGAGACATTGGGGTTGATCTATGATACAGGATGTAGGATTTGGAAATGTATGTTTTAGAATGTGATGAGCCAAATCCAAATGCAATCGCTAACCATTGGTGAATTATACACCGCATTCCATCATGATACAATTAAACAACAAAGTCAACCACAAAGTAGCAAGGCAATCCTTTGATGCCAAGAAACATTGTGGATAATTTTGACAAACACCACTGCATAAAGTAAATCTAGATTAATTAAGAAGAGACCAGTTTTTAATCCATGTTGCCAATTGGTAATAGCACCAATAGGTGTAGGTTCAGGTTAACTACACGTACAAGTGGAAATTACCAAAGTTATGTTGTTTTCATTTTGTTTTGTTTTTTGTTTTTTGCTTTTGGTTTTGTTTCTTTTTTCTGTCTTTTCTATTGTAATGTAAAAAATTGAGCTACACTGGAAGTTACTTCTAATAAGCCACCTGATGTTGTCTACTTAAGAAGCTCTCCCATGTTCTGTGGACAATATCTACTACGGATTAGGAAGTAAAATTCAAGGGAAAGCGGTGCAGACAGAGAAAGAGAGAGGCCCATTTTACATAACACAAAAAACAGTGACCCACAGCCACAGGTGCAAACATCAAAAAGTATTTTTTTTTTTTTTTCTTTGAAGTTGATCGTGACCATAGTTCTATTAGAGCACATGCAAGCCATGTTACTCTAGGTCTGAGATCCTTCTGTAAATATTGATGTCATTTCTATTAGAGGTTATTAGTAAAAGAAAGAAAAAAAAAATTGATGTCATTTCTAACAGATCAAAATTTTCTACTCATACAAAACATTCTTGCAATGTCTTTTTTTTAGACTAAGGAAACTCCCTAAAGAAAGTTATGAGGCCAGATTTTTGTTTTAATTATTTTTCTTGATATGCAAGAAAACAAATCTTTTATCAACTTGTCAAATAGTTAATTGGAACACCATTGTCTTTTATTCGAAAAGATGATAGTTTTCTAAACCTAAATCTCCCCAACAAATAAATTATGAAATTTATTGTAAAAAACATATACAGCCATACAAGCAAGATCAGACCACAAGCATTAACCCTTGAAATCAATGGGTGCCAAGGGAAAAGCAAAAGAAAGCAGAACAACAGCATAAGAACCGCAGTAATAGATAACAGAAATGGTGATCACACATTGTCTAATGGTCCCTGCCCATAGGGCTACATATTAGCCTCTATTTCGACTTTCTGTAAGCGAGCCCAGTTCTACACAAAGCACAGATCTTGTTATCAAACAAGACTGAGACACTCAGGAGTCATAAAGCACCTAGATGATAACTTGCTTGGAGAAAGCATTAATTAGAATGAGTAGATAAGGATAGCAGCTTGGCCCACTACAGAAAAGCATATAGATTATAAAGGATCAGAAGTTGTACCTGTTTATAGTCACTTTCAGATGAATGACAAGATCACGTCTGCAAAACCGTAAGCACATGCAAAGCTGCTGAGAGATTAAAATCTCTAAAGCTCAACCTGTATAAAACACATTGAAGATGATGAGGTTGATGGAGGTTTCCCTCTATGGCCCCAACTTAATCATGCGTAGTTAGTTTGTCAAATGAATTCTAATTTAATTGGGCAATTTCTATGAAAAATCATGGTTCTGAAGCCATATTGGCTACAGGACATCCAGCTCAGATTGTCGATTTTACTCTGTTTAAGAGGAAAGGACTATGAAGTACCACTTTCTTAACGCAATAAGTTTACATCAAGGAGGGGGGAAACAAAGAAAATGATAGAGGTGACACAAAGATGTTTTGATTTGTGATCCACATACATAATATGCTCGTACAACAGAACCTGCCTTTCCTTCCTCCTTCCAAATTTACAAGCGCTCAAAAGTAAGAATATCCTTTAACTTATTCCTAACTTTTAACAGGCTCAGATGCAGAATATGATGATCAATAAAGATTTCTATGAAATTTGCAAGAAATCAACTATGAAATTCTTTTGCTTTTGCTAAATTGATAGTATAACCTGTAATATGTTTCGAAATGTTATATTGAAAGCTTCAACAGTCTAAGTATATGTGTTAGACTCTCAAACTTACAGTAGATGTCAGAAACAGTTAAAAAGAAAGAAAAAAAAAAACAACAAAAACAAAAAAGGAGGTGTTTACAGTTTTAGACTCTCATAATAAAGTAACAATGAAGTGCAAATATCTTCTTTAGCAATACTAACACAAGTCTTTACTTCTGAAATAAATCTCTTACATAGTGGTTGAACTCGTTGAAGGCTTGAAGATGTTCCTGATGCTCCTTGACAAGATTCCGCTGTCTTCATAGTTTGTCAATGTGAGTATATCCTAAATCATTCAGAATAACGCAAGAAATTTATTCTATATCGCAACACCTTTTCATAAAAAAGAAAGTAATCCTCTGATAAATAGATAATTGATATTTCTAGTTATAAACAGAAACTAAAAAAATTGTATGTCTATTCTTCAAAAAAAATGTATGTTTACATTGATGCGGCTAGAGTTCTGTTCCATGTCAAAAAATTGTATAGACACAAGTTCTACAGCAGCATCTGCAATTCTTTATTAGACCTGTAATTAGTCGAAATCAAAACAGATGTTCACATATTCAATAGATCCGGACCCTCAACATCAGGTCCTAAACAGTAAACATATCCAATCTGGTAAACTACTTTGATTTTTCAAATTATTTTGGTCGTCCATCAAGGTGTAACAGGCTATCAGCCAGACAGCCACCCATTATCCAACTCCTAAAACCAAGAAACAGCCTCCAAGAGAGTAAATTGCATGTTATTATCTCCAAATTAACGTGTGTATAACAAAGGATAATTTATCAAAGCACAATCATCTACACTATCAGCAAGCACTATCCAAAAGTGTCCAATTTGTCAAAGCCTATACACATAATAAACTAAGGGCATCAAATTTTCTAGCTAAAAACTTTCAAATATAATCACCTACAGATAAAACATCAAATAAACCAAGGTGCACCAATTGGAGAACAAAGTCCCTATGGTACACAACATTTGTAAATATTATGAACAAAATTAAACAGCATTAGTAACTAGTAGTACACTAAAAGATACAGAGGATACTGACCTGGTGCAAGCTGCCGCAGATTTCAGCTCTCACTTTCCTCTAATGAACCTTCTGAATGAGATGATTACATACTGCATTACTTCTCCTCTCTCTCTCTCTCTCTCTAAGGCAGAGAGCAAAATTGGGATTGAGAGAGCGTAAATGCATCACTTGCTGATCAATTGAGACCGAAGGTAACATGGGTTCCTACTTCCTACTTTTGGATTTTATCATTCAAGAAACAAAAACACCTGACTGGCTAAGTGCTCTAATAAAAAGAAAACAATCAACTGCTATACTCTAAAATAGCAGGATTCCATCTTGATAGCATCATACAAATCGTACAACTGTTCTATGGTGAATTGGTGATGTATGTGAGCTTCTCTACTCCCCCTACAGCATGTCTTGCATATGGATAATTTCTGAATTGCAATTACTCATTGCAGCAGAGTTATGGACATGACAAGGGTTTGAATTAATTTCAATCAACAATAGAGAGAATAGGATATACAGATACACATATCAGACCAAAGCAATAGAAAGGATAATAAAGTTCCAAGCAACTCCACGAGATAGACTTGTCTACTTTAGAGCCTTCACATAAATTTATCTAGCACCCATGGACGATAAAACACAATTTGCACCTTTCTCTGCTTAAGGGTTCTTTCTCATCTTCAATCACTAACTAGAAAGAACACAATTTATATTTCAACAAAGGGTGTTTCATTATCCACATCCAGCAGCTCAAACAATATATATCCTATTACAACTTCGCTATTAATGGATACTACTTTACATCAATTCCTTTTTCTGTCTTGAGAGCATCAATGACCTGAAGTTCTTCCCTTTATCAGGTAAACAACAGCTGCTATAATTGATATAATTCTAAATTCATTAACTTGCGTTGACACATTTCCTCAACAGTCTGCACTTTGCCCTTTGACTGATTTCCCCAAAAATCTGTCCAAACAAGTTAACTCCACTTTGTAATCCTGCTTTAACTTGTTACCTCTATCCAACTACATCCAGCATCTTTCTTTATCCCTTGCTCTTTCATCAAATTACTTAAGTGTTCAATCTCATCCCACATGTTGAACTGAGCATACAAGTTTGACAATAAAGCAAGAACCCCAGCATTTTTAGGCTCCAATTCAAGGGCCTTCTTAGCGGCCATCCTGGCCAAATTAACATTTCCATGTTCCTTACAAGCATTAAGCAAGGATCCCCATAATGAGACATAAATGACGAGCCCTTTTCCGGCCATCTGACTCATTAGCTTCCAAGCCTTTTCCAAATCACCAGCCTTGCAAAGCATGTCAACTACACAGCTGAAGTGCTCAGGGCCAGGATCTAGTGCGAAGTCATGGATCATGGACTCAAAATAAGAGAGACCAAGATCAACTTGGCCAGTGTTAGCACAGGCTGATATAACAGACACAAAGGCTACCCCGTCTGGCCTCACTCTTTCAACCAACATGTCCTGATACAGAGAAATTACTTGTATATAATGCCCACTTCTACCATATGACCCTAACATAGAAGTCCATAAAACAACATCTCTCTTTTCCTTCACACCTAATTCAAGTCCAGATAGGTTAAAAACTTGTACAGCCTTGCTCACTAACCCACATCTCCCATACATTTCAATTAATGAACTTAAGAGGACCACGTCAGTATCTATGCCAGAAGTTACACGGAGCACATAGGCATGGACTTGTTTACCCAAGCCAATAGCAGACAGCCCTGCACATGCACATAAAGCTGCTGTCAAAGTGAAGTGATCATACTTCAGATTCAGCAGAGGCATCTTTCTGAACAGTTCAATTCCCCTAATCCACAACTTAGCCTCACTATAGCCTGCTAAAAGCGCATTCGCGCAAACAGAATTTTTCATTGGAATTTCATAAAAGGCCATTTCCGCATCATCGATGAATAGTGATCTAGAATACAGACCAACAACAGCACTACCCACAAATACACTTCTGGACCAACCTGCCTTCATTATATATGTATGCATCTGCTTACCAAAATTAACAGTCTTGGCACTTGAAGCAGCAGTTAAAGCACTACATAGGGAATAAGAATCCAGTGGAACACCATGAATGTGCATCAAAGAGAATGTCCTAAGAGCCAAGTAAGAGAATCCACTTTTACTAAAATCAGCGAGTAATATGTTAAAGGGCAGTGGGTTTTGAGAGCTTACAGAAAAGAAGAAGTTGGTAAGAGTTTGGTGGGTCTTTTTGTTGGATGCCACAGTTATGCATGAATACATAAGTTTAGTAAGAATGTTAAGGGAACTGAAAAGCAAGCCCCTTCGAAGTAATTGACCATGAAATCTTTTGATCTCTTTGACATTATTGGTTGAAGTAAAATGGTTTAGTGAACAAATGATAGAACTCTCTTCAATGAACCAACAAACCATTCTTTAAAAAAACAACACTTACGAATGCGGGTATGTTGCCAGTTACAGCCAGCTGCAGTTGCCTCTGTGCACAATAAATAACCTCCTTAGCCAGATGAGCTCTTTCCTAATACATTGTAAGATCGTGATCAGACAAAAAAACGAGGGCATCGAAACACCAAGCACAAATTTACCTTAATTATACACATGATTCATGTTATGTACTTGGGTCACCAAAGAATTTGTGCAGTACAAGATTGAAAGCTATCAACCATAATATTTCACATAGACATTTAATCAAACACGTAACGTGCATTCTTTTAAAACTTCATCTGATTTTCCCACAAACCCACGAACACAATTCATGTAAAAAAAAAAATACCTCCTCTAACTGCAAACAACAATTCAGAAGTTCATGTAAACAATCTAAAATTTCATCTTAAAATCAAATTTGTTTGACACCTTAATTCATTGAAACTAACCAACAATTTCCGAAGATCATGCGATTATGTCAAATATTTGTTTTCTATTAAATTCAGTAAATAACAAATTATAGTTTACAAATTAAATGAATTAAACATTGTCTTACCAATCTATGACTACAAAAATCAGATACTGGAGCTACAGTTGCAATTAAGAGCTGCTATCAACGTTGATCGGAAGAAGAGAATGAGTATTAAGGCTTCAGTGTTGCGGCTTCGAGATGGTGATAGAGAGGTTATCAATGGAGAAAAGGCGCCAAACTTCCATGAAAGAAGATAAATTCTGCTTGATTAACGTGTTAACGTGAGTTTTCTCTTTTGAAACTGAAAGCGGGAGTTTGATACAATCCGATCAAGGGTTTCAACCATCATTTAAGTTTTTGATTGAAATGATCTCTAACATAACATGGTAGTAGAGCCAACGCGACATAAATCGCAAATTCAAATTCATTCATCACTTTTACAAGTGGAAAATTTAATGTTGGGCAAGGCAAACGATTTGAGTCTAGCCGGATTTTAGTATGTTCGAGCGTGAATAAATACATAAAGATACTAAAGTTTAATATAATACTCCGTAGAGATTTTTTTAGGTTAAACGAGCTTTGACCAAGTTATAATTGAATGTAAAAAACTTATAAGTGACTTTAAATGAGTTGTTCACGAGCATTATCGAGTCAATCATGATGCTTTATTTAATCACTTGACGACTTAAGATTTTTGTTCAACTGTATTTGTTACTTAACAAAACGAGTTTTGACCAAGATTGTTTGTGAGTAAAAAATGAGTCGTTACATACATGAATTACTCACAAACAATCTTGGTCAAAACTCGTTTTGTTAAGTAACAAATACAGTTGAACAAAAATCTAAAGTCGTCAAGTGATTAAATAAATCATAGATTGTTTGTGAGTAATTCATGTATGTAACGACTCATTTACATCTCGTCAAAAAAAAAAAAACACTCATTTACACCGCTAGTGCTGAGTAGGGGCCTATATTGCATTCACATTTCAAGGTTAAAAGGTTTTTATATGAAGAAACATAATAAAGTGTATAAATTAATTATTGGTTTCAATTGTAAGTTTAAAGTAGGTTTTTTTTTGGTTCAAATGGTGTTCAAACAATGTACACTATACAATATGTGAGAGTGTCATATTCATTATACACTCGAGTGTATCATCAGGCCCCATTGTCCCTGAATAGAATATGCCTTTAAATGTTTTGGAAAATGTGTTAATTAAATACCTTTTATGGAATATGTTCATTGACCTCATAGGGAAAAAAATAATTGTTTAATTATCTAGGCCAATAATCAATTATACTCTAATCTTGTACACAAATTAATACAGAGTACTATACTACAAAAGTACATTAAGTACAACCAATCATCATAAATATTTTTTTAAAGGAAATTAACATTAAGTACAACTATAAAGATAAAAACTAGGTTAACGTTCCTACTCACTAGTTATAATTTATATGCCGGTCTAACCAACCATCATTACTTAGGGTCTGTTATCATAAATTGAACTCGACTGAACTGAGCTGAACTAAACTAAAACTGAACTGAACTGAACTGAAATGAGTATTTTATAAGAAAAAGAAATTAGGAGCTGACCTGAACTGAAATGAATATTTTATAAGAGAAGGAAGTTAGGAGCTGAACTGAACTGAACTGAACTGAAATAAATATTTTATAAGAGAAGGAAATTAGGAGGTGAACTGAACTGAACTGAAATAAATATTTTACAAGAGAAGAAAATTAGGAGCTGAACTGAACTGAACTGAACTTAACTGAAGTACTGAAGTGAACTGAAAATAAACATATGAGAACAGACCCTCAAAACTTAAGAGTATAATGCTTGTTTCACTTCACTTTTAAAAGAAAATCATTAAAAATAATTTCACTTTGGTAAAAATCAATAACTTTTAAACAGAAATATAACAGAAAATTAGTAAAAATAAATTTAGCAAAATAATTTTAGTAGATAATTTTAATTCGGCATAGAGTAATTTTTTTTTAATTCAGCACAAATTAAAAATAAGCCATGCTTAAATTGAAATACTCCGTAAGATAAAGTGATCAAAGTCCCGATACACTTAACAAAACACGGAAGGAGTGACCTACTTATGTAGGTGTAGTCGAATGCTCGGTGCCCTGGTGGCCTGGTTATCCAAACCCATACGTTTCCACCTAACCCACATGTTGCAGGTCATGACTTTGCATGGCATGATGGTTGCTTTTGCAGTTGTGCATATATCATCATCATCATCATCATCACTCAAACCCAGATTCCCAAAAATATGAGGTTCTAGCAAACGAAAATTTGTTCAATTATTATAAATTCATATAGAAAATTGTCTATCATTTACCAAAGGACGTGTTTATACGTAATACTGATTTTTTTTTTGGCAATTTCTAGTTTATTACGATGTTGGAGTTCGGAATTTTGATCTGGCATTTCCCACGAAATTACTTACAGTTCCAATGTCTTTCTATTTCTATATTTTATGGTAGGTTTTGATCTTGCAAATTTTTGCCATAATTACATGATTTAGGGGCACAATTTCACGTAAACAAGCATAAATTAGGTTTTGGTGACCTAAATTTTTCTTCATCATAAGAATTATTGCAAAAATTGTAATTTAATTGCAAGTTAGTCGGAATTTTTGCTGATTATAGGCTAGAAATTCATTGTGATTGTGAATTTGTTTTGTGTTTCAGGGTTTGATTAGAAAGGCATGGAAATTCAGGGTTTGAAGCTGCTGGATTTGGAATATTGCAAGGTTAGTTTTACTTTTTTATATTTACTGATTTTGAATAATATTGTGTTTAGAATTTTGTTAACAATTGACAAATTTTGCATATTGAGTGTGACCCACCTTTGTTAAAGCTTCATTTTTCATACACCAATCACTAGGAGTGGTTTTTGTTGGTTGTTTTGTCCCTACATGTTACTATGGTTTTGGAGGTTATTGTTCAATATTCAAGTGAGCATTCAATGGACTTTCGTTTTCTAATTAGTCCTTTTGTTAGATTTATGTGATCTATTTTATTTGATTGTACGAACTTGGGTACTTAGAAGGCCATATACTATGTAACCGGTCGTTGTAACCGAAGAAAATGAAGGAAAACAGGCCATGTGAAGGGTCTCTAGTAGCAAGATTGCAAGAATGAACAATGTGATCCGCAATTGTCACTCACCCCTCGTGTTTGACGTTTGATTAGGTTGTGGTCCTGTTTCTTTGAGCCACATGTATTAGGCTTAAGAGAATAATTATCTCGACTTTATTTTATTTTTAGAAATAGGGGTAATATTTTGTTGGAAATGCTATATGTAGCGAATTAAAATTAATGTTTTTCTTTGTAGCTTGTGGGCCTTGCAAAACAACGAATTTACTTGTTCCAAGTAGAACAAAGATCAGCCAATCAGCATTTCAGGTTGCTATTGTTATCTGAAAATAGTGTAAAATCAATGGATTTACTTGTTAGGATTAAAAACTGTATGAGCAAAAATCTTGATTATTTCGACTGACCAGCATTTTAGGCTGTTTTTTTGTCCTAAAGATGACTTTTGACTATGCTCTGTCTGAACTAAGTTTCAGACATGACAAAGTAGCTATATTAGGTGGTAAACCGTGTTTGTTCTACGGTGGCATGCTTATTATATGTAATATATATAATCAGTTGAGACTCTTGATACCAGTTGTTTATGGTACATATATTTCCCATCAGCTATCTTTTAGTGAACTGATTATTTTAATTCATTTACATATGGGTGAATCTCAATGAAAATAAGGATGACTAAATGTTAGTCTGTTTTTAACAATAAAAAAATGTAAGGTTATTGTGCACCAGTACAAGTTTCTCTGCTGTTGCATGTATTAATGTTACCGTTCTGCAATCGCTCGTCTCATTAATTATTGTAGAATGGATATAGAAAAGATGTTGCACTTGCACCTGCATTCTCATCTTGGTAGAAAGGATATATTAGGGGTTTTTATTTCACATTTGAAGCTGTGATGATCTTTGACTATTAGTGTATATTGCTGGTTATCTCTCTTCCTTAAATCCTGGAAACATAATTTTGTTAGACAATCCCACTTAGCGACGCTTCTAATTAATGGTTGTTGATTACAGTTGTCATTATAATTTATAAGCCTTATTTTTTTCTTTGAAAGATGATTTATAAGCCTTTAACTCTTGACTTGAGTGCAAAATCTAGCTGTTTTATCTATTTTTTATATAAATGCGAAGAATTCTTTTTTCATGGATATAGGAGTTTCAACATAAGTCACTCAAAACATGCAATTAATCTTGTTTATAATAAAGGCTGCTTGCCAAAACAATATGACAATGATTACACAAATTATGGATTTGTTAAGTAACTACCAAAAAGAAGTCCACTCAATGAGATAGAGTGGAAAAAGAGTTTTGTATATACACTTGTGCAATTTGGTTCTCATGATATTAGCTTGATATCAAGAAATTATCAAGAACCAAACAAAAATGATGATGAAGAAATTTAATGTTAATATGGTGTAGGCTTGTTATCCTATTGTCAACCTTCACATGTTCACAGTGAATAAAATTGATAGGTAACTAAATGGATGAATGTTTCTTCATCGCAGGGAATGGTGAGTCCACCAGTGGGATGACTGTAGCCAAACTCTTCCTCAGCAAGGCTAAGCAGTGCTTGAAATGCAGGATTATTCAAGCAAGATAAAGGCACCACGTACCGTTTCTTGCCCTCACTATAGTATCCCACGTATACAGCAAGGTGACCCTTTGGAACTCCACCCTGAATTTTGTTATGCCTCTTTAATACAATTTCTTTGGTGTGTGCAATCATAGAAGACAACCGAAAAATCATGTTGGTAGATTTAGGAGTTGCTGAAAGAAACTGACTCTTTAATGGAAGAATATGAGAGTGAAATCCCAATTTAGGACTATTAGGAGTTAGTGAAAGAAACCTGACTTCTTAATGGAAGTAAATGAGAAAGTGAAAACTGTAAGTGCTGTAGTAGTACATGAAGGAGTTTGATACCTGGGTTTAGTGATTGGTATTTATAGGGAGATGGAGAAGTGAAATTATATTCACTGGCACTCTGGAGGTTCTTCCAACTGGAATATTGTCAACTTGGAATTTTAAAGAAATGAACCCACCTCCCTTCTCCGTACGCACATGGCTGATGACTCTTTTCAGTGCCTATGGTTTTAATTATTGCCCTTACATGTGCCCTTGGAACTTATGAAACTTCCGTACATTTAAAGGATGAAAAAAAATACCTGGAAAGATTTCTTATATCTTGGAATTTGAAAATGAGTCAAATGACAGCTAACATACATGGGAAAGTGGTTCACAGCTTTTTTATCTGAAATCTGAATGCAGTGGTAACCTTGTAGGAAGCTTCTCTTCCCAAATGAAAAGTAGAAGTAAATTGTTGGTAGCTCCATACTGAAGTATTTGGAAGACTATTTGTTTGTCTCATTGCCTATCAAATTTTGCTTTCATTTATAAGAAAATTGACAATCAAAATGCAAACCATACCTTAATCACATGTTTTGTATGATACATTTTCATCAGTCTGTATGATTATGTGTCTGTTTCAATAAAACTACTAGTGTGCTAGATAACTAGGGATAGCTTACTCTACGGTTGTTTTTTCTATCTGTTTTGAAGTCATGGGAAACCATTTTTTTAGAGCAATCTCTTTGTGTTGCATTTTTGGTATGAAAGCTCATGTCTGAGTCTTTGTGCTAGGTATGGTATTTCGGCTTATTTTACAACCTAGTATGTATCTCTTAGTAGACTTTCATGTACGAACTCATCGTCTTATATTGACATGTCCTGAAACTTTAGTAAGTGAATTATAAGAAATAAAAATTGAAGGTTTATAATTCAACCTCTGGATGATGTTGAGCATGCTGATTTGAGGATAATGATAATTTGACAATAACAGACGTGATCATGTATGAGTACTTTACATAGTTGCACCATTTGTTATATTAATAAGCCAATTTGGAGCCAAAACTACCTAAGCAAGTTCTGCTGATTTGACTCATTTGAGGATCATGATAAGTTGACAATTATGGATGTATGGATATTTTATATCTTGCATCATTTTCTATGTAGAAAAGCCAATTTGACGCCCAAAGAACACAAGCAAACAGCCAACATCTCTATTGCATTTTTTTAGTAAGCATTGTTGCAAATAGTCACTTACTCGGTGTTGTTATGGGCTAAGGTAGTGGAGTCTTTCAAGCTAAGGTTTGCTCATTTTGGGAGGTTCAATGGAACGGAGTTAATCTGTAGGGTTCTCTGTCATCATTGCAAGTTCAATTCTTGGATTTTCCATGCTTGGGCTTCCTGCGCTCTCATTGCTTGTGGCCTGTCTTCTGACATTATTAGGAGATTAATACTTTCCTTAATTTTGATCTTCCCTGGATTTGTCACGTTCTTGCACCCTGCTGCTCTCACCCCTTCCTTTGGAGCATGCTGTAGCATTTGCTTCCAAATAAGTTGTACAAGTCAGTTCTTATTTTCTTGCCTTTATGTTATACCCATTAATATTGACATTATTGTGAATTTTCCTCTAGAGGAATGCTGGTCAGATTAAGGAGATACCACAATTGCTTAGATTATTGTGAATGATTAGTAGATTTTCTTCAGATAAGTGATATGTAACCTCTTTTTTTTTTTTTTTTTTTTTTTTTCTTCCTCCTTGGTGGATAAATAATTGCCTCTGAAATTTCATTATCTGAATAACGTAGTTACAGTATTCAATAGATGCTTAAGCTTAAGGGACCAATGCTTATCTCTCTAACTTGGTTGATGATTTAATGTTACAACTTGCTAGTCAGAAAGTTCCGAAAGACTGTAACATATGCTGGTAGTAATAAGTATCTGATTCTTTCTTTCAACAGTATTGTCGTAGGCCTAAAGAGCTTTGTTAGAGGAGGTTGAAGATCATACCATTTTTAACATACATTTATATATTTATAGGATCAGAATTACTGGAATTCCAAATTGCTATTAGACCTGGAGGTTCAAAATAGGAAGCGTGGCTCTCTTCACATAAAGCAAAATGCCAAAATTTGTTTCTTGCTCTATCTTGTGGAATTTTCTTAAGCAAAAATAGAACTACAAGGTCTACAACTACTTGAATGCTACTAATAATATTTGCATCTCCTAAACTTGGTTTATAATTTCAAGTTTAAGGCTTGCATTTTCTAAAAATGGTAGTAATATTTTCTGATTAAGATACCCTTTTTGGTGAGCATACTATGTTGCAACACATTGAAGAGAAGAAATTCTGAAAAAGCACAAATTTGTGCATAATTTTGATTATGGAGTTAAAAAGTGATATATATACACTGATTACAAGTCTCTGGCTCTCTGCCTCTGAATAAACCTAATAAACTATAAATCTAATAAAAAGGAAACTGTCAAAACTGTGCTGAGGACTGCCTTCTATGTATCCGTCATGCTTCAATGTTAAATCGACTGGTGATGTTAATTAAGGCTTCCTCATTGCATGGAATTGTTAGCCCACCCATAGGATGATTTTAGCCGTACTCTTCCTCTGCATGTCTAAGCAAGTCTAGGAAACAAGGTTGGCTTAGATAAGTAAGTGGGACTACATATCTCTTCATTTCACTTTCCCCTACATAAACTGCAACATACCCTTTTGGAACTTCCTTTTGATTTTTGGCATTATGAGAATGTGATTTGAGTATGTGCTTGGCATTAGAGATAATTGAAGGAAACCTTATTCTCATCATGGTTACACAAATGAGTTACTAACTTGAGAAAGTAAAGAGGATGGGCTTACTGAAAGTAAAGAGTTAGAGATCAGAATTTTGCTGGAGGTACCTTTGTTGGTGGATTGTGTTGATGCAAAGTTAAGATAGTATCTTATTTATAAGGATGTGGATCCTGAATTTGCTATGCGGTTTAGCAGAAGTCTAGGCAACTTGGTTTGACAAATGACTATAGGGACCCACCTTATTAAAGTTCACATGGCTTATTTTAAATAACATTAGCAGAGCCCCTCCTCTTTCTCTCTGGACCAGCCTTTAGTTTGATTTTCATACCAGACTTCCAACCTTGTTTGGAAGTCATTAATCCAATTGGGATCTGTAAGATTTAGCATATTACTTCATGTCTAAAAATTATTTATGGTGACATTGGCTGAGCAGAATTGCTGATAGTAATCTATACTAGACAACAGGCCCATGCAACAGGCTCATGTGTTTCTCAGTTGATTTTGGTTGATGCTGATGCTAGATTTAGGAAATCCATACCTTAGCATTAGTGTTCACCTACCCAGAATTGAAACATTTGGTCTTCATAAATATCTTATTTTTGAGCTGGGTTGTGATCTTGATCAAGTTAACGGTCAAGAAGCCACTTTTGTGGATGGGTTGTGGCCTGATATCTTGGTCGCAGTAAGCACAAAACCCTTACAATTTTTTGGCTATGCGGTTATGTGGTCAGGATTTAATACCATGAACATGACTCTGTATTCTAATGCGAAATAAACTGTAAATATAGTAAGACTGTTGTTTTAGTAGTTAGTACTAGGAAAATTGGAAGGATTTTGTTAAGGTGTTTGAAACTTCAAGTCTGACTGATCCTTACGTGAAAGTGAAGTTATTAAGCATACAAATACTCCTTACACTAGAGCTCCTTCAAGTAACTAATACAAGGCAACTTGGAAAAAAAACTATAATCTCTATAATCAATACTCACCCCACGGACTGATGGCCTATAAAGCATGGGTACTTCACTTCCTTGCCGTACGCTCTATTGGGTATGGGTACGATATATGTAATGGGTATCGTGTATTTTCTTAAACAATAATATCTTACGGAAAAGTATAGTTTTGTTTGTGTTAATTTATTTTATCTTCAATTTTTAAATGGTTTTTCATTTATTTATATTAAATATAAATATGTCATAACATCCCTCATTTTTAATATATTATATACTTTAACACTTCGTAGTATTAACTTCGCCGTATCCGTAACCTCTATTATTTAAACTAGTGAGTAACAAATCTGTTGTGTGTCCATACCTGCTTTTGTATGTGTTCTTGTGCAACTTAATTGATGACTTTGTTTACTTGTTATTTTATTGCCTTTACATGCAACCTTGAAATTCATAAATTTGTCTAAGAAGTGAATATAATATCTAGAAGGCTTTCTGATTTCTAGGAAATGATTACTACCGTACATTGGGAAGTGGTACAAAACAGACCTATCTAAATGCAACCGTAAGAAGCATCATACTTAAGTTTTTGATACTTAAGTTTTTGAAATTCTATTATCAGCCTGTATGGCTTTTCCTTCTCTTCTCTCTCTCTCTCTCTCTTTTTTTTTTTTTTTTTTATAAATTAATAATAATAATTAATTTATTATTTTTTTGTGCTAACATATTTTATGTGCAACTGAAAGAAAGTTAACTCACCTATATGTTAGCACTTGGTACCGAAATTGCTTCTTTTGTTAATTGATGGTGAATTCTTAATCATAAGGAGTTGGGACATTATGAATTTATGACTATTATTTTCAATTGAGGGAACTCGTATGATTGATGTATAAAATTGATTATTTGTTTTCATTTGGGCTATAACAGGCATGCTTTTGATGATTTCAAACCCAATGGCAATGATCATTGAGTAAATTGAACCTTTAAAACTTTTTCCAGTGTTGTGCTAGTTTTCAATAATTTTATTGCTAAATACATGACTTTCTTTTGTAACAATTTTTTCAACCCACCGATATGTGAAATTCTGCCTAACCAATCCTGGAATCCTCTGGTATTTGATAATGGTGTTGAGGAAGAGGGTGAGTTTGGGACCAATTTTGTCTCTTTAACATGGTTGGCGAATTTTGTATACATTGTTTGGTAGAAGAAGTGTAGAACCATAGAAAATTTGTGTAACATCTGATGTAAATGTTAAGTGTCAGTCTGTTTATCTTAGCCAATTGTTTCTTACACCCTAGAATTGCTCTCAGCATGTAACTATCCTATAGCACCTTAGTGCTTAAACCTCAAATTTCTATTAGATCTGGAGATCCAAAAATTTATAACTTTTTACATAAGTAAGCAGTGTATAAATATATACCTAGTCAGTGCTGGTTTTAATGGCTAAAATCCTTTTTTGAAGGGGTTAAATCCCATAGCCTTAGTGGGGATGGCTTCCCTGAGAGACACTAGACTTAGTTTCCAGAAAAAAGGACTCTAATATTGTCATCTCAGGGATTTGAAGGTTCAATCTGGGAAGGTAGCTTTCCGCTCCTGATGCAAACTCTCTGTCCTGCCCTATCTGATTGATGATCTTATCAATTATATTAAATGCAATCAGCATACATCTCCCAAGTTTAATTTCCGACTCTATAATGTAGCTTTATTTTCTTTTGTTGATGATTGCTGAGTATAGTATTTTGCAATAAAGTGAAGGGAATAAATTTTTGAAAGCTGGCAACTGTGCAGTTTTACTTGATTAA